CTGCCACAGGGACTGCAGCCTACGCCGTCGCCAGCGACTCACGGCAGCCCAGCTCCAGGTTGAGCTGTTGTTCAGCATCTTAGCTGTGGAGGGCAGTGTTCACTGGCCCTCATATGTGGGATCCGAACCAGGGGCCTCTGGCATCCCAAGCGAGTTCTTAACCATCACGCCACTCGGCTGGCCCGAATTTTGTTCTTTTTATGTTGTCAAATTTTTCAGTTCTTTTTTTTATGGCTTCTGGGTTTTATGTCTTGTTTATTCCCCCTACTACTCTGTTATCGAAGGATAGTCTGTCTATTCATTTAACAGAGCAGACAGTTCACCGAGTTACAACAGAGTCAGGACATGACCACAAGTTTCTCTTGACTTCTGTTCCAAGGATTTTCCTACCAACTCACATCACTTCTCTGTTGTTAACTAGTAGTTTAAAAAAACACACAAAAAACAAATCCAGTTTTCAGAGGAATTCAAGAGGTATGACTCTCTCAGCTTTGATTTCTTCCTCCCTCTCCTTATTCCTGCCAGCCTGCATGTGGTCTGTGTGTTCTTTGCATGGCTAGGGAACAGAGATGAGTCAGCCATAATTCCTGCACTCACGGTCTGTGCATGTGTAACGATGTACACAGAGAATACATAAAACATAAAAATCTGGTTTCCCCGTGGATAGGAAATCTGAAGAAAGCATACTGATGTGTTAGCAGGGAGCCTGGATTTCCAAAAAAGAGGTTTTCAGAGAGACATTTTGGCCTGGTCTTTGATTCCATAGAGATGAAATTATTTTCACCACCACCACCACATCCCACCTTTCCAGAGGAGGTGCAGAGTTCTCAGACCTGCATACCTTTGTGGTTTAATTTGTTAGTAGCTCTCTGACATGCAGACCTGTATACCTGGTTTTGAAGTTCATAGAGATACACTGGCCTGGTTTACTCACCAGAGACGTTAAGAAAACAAACCCTAATGTAAAAACATATCCTAATTATAATACAATTTGATAGTTAATAAAGTCATATGTGTGCCTGAATAAGTGAGGCCTCCATGACTCACAAAAGTGATAGTCTGTAAAATGGGGCCAATACTTAGGTAAAATGATGACAGGCCATTCTAAAAAATGAAGTACTGCCTAAGAGACAAACAATAAATCCGTACAGAGTACTCTGTATCATCGCTGCTCACACAAATTCAGCAAAAGCCCTGGAATGGGGGATTAAGCACTTGAGCCAATGGTGGAATCGCTATACTATGAAGCCCACCCACCCAACCCATGGAGTTTATGTTCCAGCCTCCCTCAGGAAGGTCTTACCAGGGTTCCATCTGTCAGGGTGCAGCCGGAAAAGCGTTTTGCAAGAAACCCCTCAAAGTTAGTTGTTCTCTGAATAGCAAAAAGAAGCAATTTCACTTCAATTTCCTTAGCTCTTGTACGCATAATCTTGGCAAGTTCTGTCCTTCAAAGTAAAGAGATAAGAATATTATCAAACAAATGGCTCATTCAAGATAAGACAAAGTAAATGGTTTTAGCTCATATTAAAAAAAAGAAGAAAAATGTATGCGGTCGTTTCAAATCCTGAGGTCTGTTACCAACTTAGTTTAATGCTTGGGGAATAGAAATACACATTCTAAAAAAGGATTTTAAAGTGAAATTATCCACCAGTCAAAAAATTCAAGGATTATGGACACCAATTTATTTATACTCTTACTAGTATTTTTATGCATTTAAATTTTTCAATAATTTGTCAGTAATACATATGAAACACTCAGTATTTTACTGGGTTGTAGGAAAAGTCATGACTCATTTTTGCAATGAAAAACATAGAAAAAAAATACATCATGACTTTTCCAACAACCCAATATAAAAATGCATATATTCTATGTAATTTCACAAGTATTAACTACTGAATTACAAAGCCCTCCATCTTCCAGAGAGTTCAATAACCATCTCCTCCATCAGAAAGCCGGAACCCTTGGAATACATGTGAGAGGCTGGAATCCCCACATGAAGAGTAACACACACGTGTTCAGGTGGTTCCTGCCTGTTTACGTGCCACTTAAGCGTCCTGTTTCAGACTGTAAGTTGTTCCAGGGCAGTGACATGAGATCTCTCAGTGAGTGCTGAGCTATGGTCATCTTTCCCCACCAATAAATGACACAATCAAACAAAGGGCTTCTGAGTTTATTTAGGAATTATGTATCTGTAGGATTTTAGCCAAGATTCAAACAATGAAGCTTAGCAGCAACGCTGTCATTAGCTGACACAGTAGCAGGTTTGTTGGCTTTAGTGTTAATATACTTCCAGTCTCCTGAGGAGTCAGTTCATAAGTCATTGAACTACAGGCTAAAGAGAACTGGTAATTAATTTCTCAATGAATTCGCTCTTTCTTTGCTAATCAGGACTTAGAAAAGTGACAACCAGAACTGACCTTGAATCAATATGAAAAAATTATCTAAATCTATGGTAGCAAATGTATTTCTTAAAACAACAGACACATAGGAGGTATAATACCAAGAGTCAGCCCGAATGTAAACTATGGACTCTGGGTGATAACATGTCAGTGTAGGGCCATCGATTTAACAAATATACACTCTGGTGGGGATGCTGATAATGGGGGAGGCTGTGCGTGTATGGGGCAAGGGGATATGGGAAATCTCTGTATCTCCCTCTCACTTTCGCTGTGAATCGAAAATTGCTCTAAAAAACAAAGTCTATTAAAAAAAAAACAACCAACAGCCAATATCCCTTAAAACATTCCCACTCCTGCCACAATGTGCTTAAAGCATGAAACTTGACTGTACTCTCTATGATTTTAAGAAAGATGATGATCATGAATTACTTCAAGGTGGCTGAGTTATGCTTAGATATGGAAGTGTTTTTTTATTAACCTGGAGTTAATGGAATTGTGCACTATTAGAAGAGAATATATAACTCATAAAACCCAGTTACCACTACTGTTGTAGTAGAGCTGCACATAAAAAATTTAAAAAACTGGACTCTAGCTTTAGCTTTGCCATAGTTAAGATACACTGATCTAACCTTCTTGGGCTTTAATCCTTAGATATCAAGGGTCTATCTGGCTCTGGGCCAAACTCATGGACACTGAAGACATGGTGAATGAGAGGTCTTTAAAATGCTGAGAACCCTCAGGCGCCAATATCATTAACTATCCAAAGACTGTAAATACTATATTAGAGGTAGGAAATTTGTTCAACAAATATTTCCTGATGGTCTACTATGTCAGTGAAGTAGACACTACTCCTGGCCCTCTGGAACTATCTATCTATCTATCAAGTCATAAAAGCAAATGACAATGGATATATACTCTGCAAACTGATGTGTGTGATACGGTCATAGGGGAAAATGTGGGGCGATGAATCACTACAGGTAAATTTGGTTGATGAGTCTTGAGTTGGTGAGGTCAAGAAGGCAGGTTATTCAAGGCAAGGGCCAGGCCAAAGGAAAGTTCTGGAGCAAAGATGGGTGCAGAAAATGGGGCGGTAATTGGGTACGAGGGTACTATCAATCATCTAGTGGCATCAGGAAGTGATTACAATCCATAAGACAACATGGAACCCCTAAAGACCTGAGGACTGATTTCAATTGATTTCAAAAAACACCAAAGCCAGCAGAGAGTGGACTCTACCTTGTGATGTGGCAAAACTCGACTGCAATCCTCTCAGTCATGTACCACTCACGTGGAAACATTCGGCCGAATTTCTCCTCATAGTCCACAAGCTGGCGTTTTATCCAGGCATAGCGTCTGTCGATTTTATCCAGCCAGGCAACCTTAGGAAACCAGGGAACAAAATCCACCCTTGTACTTAGTAGTGCTGACATGTTAAGGAAACAGCAAAAACACAGAACCAAGAAAAACACAACCAAACTCTCTATTTCTCACGGTTTTAAAGAACCTGGGCTTTTTTTCACTTGATCCAGAGGTTCTTACTCTGAGGTCCATGATTGGGCTTCCAAGGTCTATAAAATTTCCTGAAACTGTCTGCAAAGTATTCTGCAAAAATGCTTTTTTCTGGGGAGAAGACCTGTAGCTCTCATTAATTTCTCTAAAGGGTCAGTGACTCCCCCCAAAATGGTTAAGAACCGCTGAGCTAGGCTGGCCAAGTGGTTCATTTGGTTAAGAGCGCGAGCTCTGAGCAACAGGGTCACTGGTTCGATTCCCACATGGGCCAGTGAGCTGCGCCCAAGCTGAGCTGCCACTGAGCTGCCAACAGGTGGCAGGATGGCTCAGCTGGTGAGAGCACGTGCTCCTAACAACAAGGTTGCCGGTTCAACTCCCGCATGGGATAGTGGGCTATACCCACCCGCAACTAAGATTAAACATGGCACCTTGAGCTGAGCTGCTGCGAGCTGCCGACTGGACTTGGAGCTGAGCTAGCTGCACACTTCACAACTAAGATTGAAGAACAACAACTTGGCTGCTCCCTTTTCCCAATTCCCCAACACTGTTCCCCTTCCCCAATTCCCCAATAATATCTTAAAAAAAAAAAAAAAAGAAAAGAACCACCTGGGCCTGCCTAGTGGCGCATTGGTTAAGAGCTGGCTTGGGATGCCAGAGGGCCTCGGTTCGGATTCCACATATGAGGGCCAGTGACACTGCCCTCTATAGCTAGGATGCTGAACTACAGCTCAACCTGGAGCTGGGCTGCCGTGAGTCGCCGGCGACGGCGTAGGCTGCAGCCCCTGCTACAGTGGGTTGCCATGGGCTACCGTGTGTAGCCAGCAGCCAGCGTGAGCGGCCAGCAGCCACCGTGAGCGGCCGTCCAGAAGCCGGCAACTGATCTGCCTCGCCCGGGAAGAGTGCAATGATGGTGCCAGCTTGGGCCAGTGAAGCAACGTCCTCCACAACTAGATTGAAGAACAAAACAACAGCAACTTGTCTGTTCCCCTTCCCCCAATTCCCCAGTGCTGTTCACCTCTCCCAATTCCCCAATAAAAAAAAATCTAAAAAAAAAGAACCACTAAACTTGTAAAGTTAGCCCCTAGAATTCACGGTTCTATAATCAACACTTTAAGACAATAATACCAATAAAGTATAAATTAGCAGACTTGAGAGCATTCAATTTTCAATAAAATGCAAATGTAACATCTGATCTTATTTGGTCAATACTTACATCCTGGTTTTCTTGAAAAAGTACTAGATACTCTGACAGATGCTGTTTAATAAACTTTTTGATGATATCCTGTTTGATTCTGGGGTCCAAAATATTAGCAACCAGACATGCATCTCGAAGGACATTGCTGGGTCCTCCGGGCCTCTGTTAAAACAAACAACACACACACCAGTTCAAAAGCCAGAAACAACCTCTAAATCTCATGGCCTCTGACAGCTGCTACTTCTTGTTCCGCTCTTGAAGTTATTATTACTCCCACTCCCCTGACACTCATTCTTCTGCTGTGGATGGATATTTTAGTTTCTTGTTCCTCGATGAGAGAATCATTAAGCTAGTCTGCAGTAGCCAGGATAAAAGCTACTCTGTGAATCAGCAGTGAGACATTTTGGAAGACAGGGCCAGTAATGAACATAGGGAATTCGGCTTTCTGAACACCAACACTGAAACACTTTGGGAAGAGTCCCAAGAGTCAGAATGATCCCAGTCTCACTCATATGTGCCACTTTCCCGATTCTGGCCTCAGATTCCTATTCTTAAGGTGCTATGCTTGTGTCAAACAGTGCAGTGGCATTTAAAACCTAAAACCAGGTTCTAAACCACCAGACTTGTTTCACTGATAGTCAAACACCCAGATATGCAGCCAAAGGTGAAATAGTCTGATATCAGCCCTCTTTACCGAAAAAGAATAGTTGAAAGATCTGGAGGGGCTGTACGGATACATCAAAATGCAAAAGCCTTTGTTATCATCGAAGGCAATTCAATCTCACGAACTTTTCTTTATAGTAACTCTCTGAATGAACATGGCTGGCTGAGTGGATTACAGTAAAAAGAATACTTGGAATCTACTCTTGGCTTTGGCTAAATAGCCACGCAGCTTTGGTGTAGTTATTGAGCCTCATCTGAAAAAGTGGACTTTAACTAGGTGATAAGTAAGGTTCTTCCAAATCTTTGTGTTTTGTTTTGTTTTTTTCAGTTCTGTCCAATTTATCCATCTCAATTGAAGTTCAAGTGTTTCACAGGTGCTACCCAAGCTGCCTCTGAGCTAACCTGTTAAAATACTGACTAACTCCATGCTGAGTGGCTGTCAAGTCATCTGCCGAGCACAATGACTCTCAACTCTTGCTTCTGGATGAAAGCGTTTGATCTGATAGAGAAACCACAGAAGCCAAAACTCATGGGCTCATGGGTTCGTATTTTTTCATTTAAAAAGGACTTCATAGGTTACAATGGATAATGTGTGTGTGTGTGTGTGTGTGTGTGTGTGTGTGTGTGTGTGTGTGTGAAAGAGCAGTTTATTAGGAGAAAACGTGCACTTCAAAGAAACAGAAGCTCAAAGGCCCAAAGGGCCAGGGCCAAGGCCAAGGGCGTCATTAGGAGAAAAAGTACACTCCAAAGAGTTTGGAGCGGGCCGAGCAAAAGAAGGAGCTCAAAAGGCCTATAATTTTAAAAAATATATATTATGAGTTCCATTTGTGAAATAGAAATAGTAGCACAATGCCTTTAAGAAAAGTCAATAGCCATTAAAAAAGAAAAAAGAAAACTCTGAATAAAAGAGAACACTGTTACCCAGTCAGAGAAAAGAGAAGCAAGTTGTTAAAGAAAACCATTTTAACTTGATCTGCCTGGTGGGATCTGGGAAAGAGATAAAACGTAGGTCATGGTTAGTTTCTTCTAAATAATGAAGCTGGGCTTCATCCACATCTTCCTGAAACTTCTTGAAACTGGGATGGACAGCAGAGTACAGTAAAGCAGATCCTGGACTCAGAGGAGTCTAATGCTTATAATTTGTGAATATCTTACAATTCCTTTTCACAGAATGGCTTTCCAATATCCACTCTTTACAGTTATATCAAATAAATAAGGATATGAAGTCCTCACGGAAACATGCTTTACAAATACAGTATGATTACTAGAAGACAGCCACAATATGGGCAGACATTAAAATCAGGAGCAGATTTGCTAGAGAAAGGGATGATCTATAAAGCTAGGGCAGCTACCCCCACCACTTCTTAAGTTTCTTTTATGGAGCACAAAGAAAAATGATTAAGATATTTCCAGTTATTGAATTATAGAGCAGATCCCGGAAACGTTCCTTGGCTCAGTAAATGAATATATATCCGCCATCTCCACCCACCATGTACAGGGAGGAATGCTGCTTGCCTGTGTGTCCTTCAGCTAGCTCATTTCTACATTAAACAATTCTTTCTCTTGAAGTAGCTCAAATAATAGAGAAAAAAAAGCTTCTGAAGGTTATTCCCTCCCCGACACATGCAAAGCATTAAGATTACGTCTGCTACAATTTAAAGGACAGAGCTGAAAGCAGTTAACCAAGCACAATGACAGCCAAGTGAGGCAAAGCTTGTTACATGAGAGGTGTAACCAATAGCTCACAAGTGAAATACTGTGGGCTTCCCAGACACAACACAAATAGCTATGCTACCAGTGAGAGCAAAAGGGATTAATTCCAAAGAACAGGTCTTCGATCATTAAAAAACGAGTCTCCTAACCATGTCCCTCCAAGTTACATAAGCCTGTGGACTTTTCTCCCGGTTGTCTTTTCACCAAACTGTAACCAATAAGTTATGTAACAATCCTAAAAAACACTGCAGCTTGAAGATTTCTTGTGTAAACACAGCCATGAGAAAAGGGGAACTTACTGGGCAGACAAGAGATTAGGTTTGACACACATTAAATTAAACTGAAACAAATCCTCACTTTTTGATGCTGAAAGAACACAGATGAGGCATCAACACTGCTTTGGGATATTTAAACTCAAGGATGGTCTCTTCCCCCAAACCTTTGGCAAACAGACTTATGGCTGCCAGCAAACACTTTTGGAACGATAAACAAAATAGGAACTGGAGTGAGTGTAAATTAGGTAGGAATGGGGATAATATCTGAAGACTGAAGGGAAAATGCAAAAACAATACCTTGGTGCCCTGGGAAGGAAACGCTTCTTCAAAATCGGCCAGAATTTGCTGTCCTAACTCAGTCTGGGCAGCTTTCACCCTGTAGGGAAAAGAGAACAACATATCACTGCCTGGAGTGATTTTCAAATATCCACAAGTAATTATGCAAAGATCTATAGGGGTCAGAACTGTTGGAGTCTGGACCGGCCGAGTGGCATGTTGGTTGGGAGCTGGCTTGGGACACCAGCTCTGAGCAGCAGGGCTCCGGTTCGGATCCCACATGAGGGCCAGTGACGCTGTGCCCTCCACAGCTAAGATGGTGAACAACAGCTCAACCTGGAGCTGGGCTGCTGTGAGTCGCCGGAGACAGCGTAGGCTACAGCCCCTGCTGCAGTGGGCTGCCATAAGCTACCGTGCGTGGCCGGCAGCCAGCCTGAGTGGCCAGAAGCCGGTGTGAGCTGCCAAAAGCCACCGTGAGTGGCCATCCAGAGGCCGGCGACCAATCTGCCTTACCCAGGAAGAGCACAATGATCACAATAACAACATGGGTCAGTGAAGCAACATCCTCCACAGCTAGACTGAAGAACAAAGGGACAGCAACTTGTCTGTTCCCCTTCCCCCAATTCCCTAGCGCTGTTCCCCTCCAACTCCCCAATAAAATCTTTAAAAAAAAAACTGTTGGAGTCTTTAAAGACAGAACTTTTTTTTCTTTTTTCTTTTTTTTTTTTTTAGCTGAGCCATCCTGCCACCTGTTGGCAGCTCAGTGGCAGCTCAGCTCGGGCCGGGACTTGAACCGCTGTTGCTCAGAGCTTGCACTCTTGAGCAAGCTCTTAACCAATTGAGCCACTCGGCGGCCCTTATGTTGGAGTCTTTAGAGATCATCAGGCAGGGGGAGAGGTGGCGGTCATTGGAGGGGGTGGCTAGATGAGAGGTCACAGACTAGTGGGGAGGTTTCTGACCAGGACCCAGGCAGCTAATTTATTCTCACGATGGATTTTCTCCACCCCAAAATTCTTCTAGGCCACCCCTCCTCACCTGTCGTGAGGTAGTATATGTTAACCTTTACAAAATGTCATTAGTGGGTAGTTATGCTGTGGGAAAATGCTATATACAGATGCCCAAATCAAATATAAAGCCATTTTGGATTACTGGTGTAACGGCTCGCCTGCTCCTGGGAGTAAAAAATGGGAGGAGGGCAGAGTTGGTTTTCTCCAACCCAGAAACCAACCTCAGGATCCTGTTTTAAAAAATGAACAAAAAGAATGTTTCCTCAGGTAAAAAGAAATAAGGTCCAAATGATAAAATGAAATGCTAATTGACAGTGAAGGCCTCTGAATGAAGACGGAGGTTCACTTGGAAGAGTGTGATTAGAAGACTGAGTTACAACTGGAAAGCAGTTAGAAAAGGGAGGTCAGTATTGAACACGTGGTTTGGATGTACACTAGGAGCTCAATGAATACCTTTCAGCTTAAATGAAGGAGAAAGGAAAAGCAGCTGGGATGAGAAAGAACCTGTGTGTCAGCGCCCCGTGCAATGCCCGCATCCTCCACCAGCCGCGCACCCTGCACCAGCCTGCACGCCTGCACCAGCCGCACGCCCCACACCAGCCGGCGCGCCCCACACCAGCCGGCGTGCCCCACACCAGCCTGCGTGCCCCACACCAGCCTGCACGCCCCACACCAGCTGCGCGCCCCACACCAGCCGGCGTGCCCCACACCAGCCGGCGTGCCCCACACCAGCCTGCACGCCCCACACCAGCTGCGCGCCCCACACCAGCCGGCGTGCCCCACACCAGCTGCGCGCCCCACACCAGCCTGCGTGCCCCACACCAGCCTGCGTGCCCCACACCAGCCTGCACGCCTGCACCAGCCGCACGCCCTGCATCAGCCTGCGGGCCACGCATCAGCCTGCCCCAACAGAGCCCGAGTGGAGAGGAGAGAGGCTCTGAGGCTGCTGCGGAACTGCCCTGAGCCTGAGGCGAGTATTTTGTCTTTGCTAAAAGCACCATAAAACAGTGTTCTTCCATTCTAGGTCTCCACCCTGTTACTTTGGAATTAACTTTATGAAGTTTCTAGAAATAGTGAACAGCTCAAAACCACAATTTCTTTGGCTACCAGGCAGTGCCTAGCAACCTACTGAGATTTTTTTTTTTTAAATAAGGGAGTAGGCAGGACCCAAAACAGTCTGATTTTTCTGTGGCACAGTTATAATTATGCACTATTTCAAATACTTTCCAGGGTTTTTCCGCTATCTTCAAAACGCTTAAAACCACTCTGATAGGTGGGTTTGCAGTCTTTTTAGTCAGTTTTCGAGGGGCCTAGAAATGACCGAGATAAAGCTATTACTGCATTAGCCCCCCCAAATCAGAATCAGGGCCATCCAGCTAGAGTTGCCCAATTAACAATAGGAAACATTTCTGATAGAAAAGAAGAGAACAAGCTTTTGTAAAATTGTATCTTGTAGGTCTTGTGACTCCACATCATGGGCCAGGCAGACAGTCTTCCCCGTGCCAGGTCACAAGACAGCTCCAGAGCCTCAGGCCCCTCTGTTCCTACTGTCCTCTTGGCAGCACGTAGACAGCCCCGTTCCCTCCTAAGCCAGAGGGACAACACCTGAACGGGAAGTTCCACACTCGGCCAGGGTCACTCACAGTCACATTCTCGGGGTTCCTGAGCATCCCAGTGATACTTATGATCCCGTCTCTGCCTCTGTCACCCCACCTACCCCACCATCCCTTAACTCCAGCTTCTTTGCGGTGCCTGAAAAGACAGTCAGAGGCTTGGTACGTCCAGAGTGTGGAAGAGAGGGGGAAGTACCAGACGGTGATTTCCAGATGCCCTTGCCACCCAGCTTCTTCAATCCATTGTCAGTCACCTCTTGAGACAGTCTAGACCAGGGGTCGGCAAACTGTGGCTCGTGAGCCACATGCGGCTCTTTGGGGATGTACATGTGGCTCTGAAGTAAAATTGGAAATGAAAATAAAACTTTCAAAGTTTCATTTATAAAAATTCTAAAGGATATTATTCACATCATGGTGATTACGTAAAAATATATTTATGGCTCTCAAATAATTTTTAAATTGTTGTGAGGGACAGGGTTGACTCTTCTGTCTCAAAAGTTTGCCGACCCCTGGTCTGGATTTAGCTGTGCCACTCGTGAGCTACGTGGAATCAGAGTACGTCATTTCCCCTCTGTGGGCTATAGCTAAGAATAGGTGTGAAATCAGAGGGTGGGGATGGAGACCTGTACGAGTTGCCTTCAGTGTCCTCTCCGGCACTAACCATTCCACAACACCCATCTTACAGTGCTAGCTGGCAGCAGCATCCATCTTTACAGATGACTCCAAGTCAGATGGATAAGTAACACTGGAGCAGAAGAATAAGTTTCTGCACATAAATGCTCCCAAGAGTAGTTTTTGGGGTGTCTATCAGTGACTCGGACGAAAGAGCAACCATTCCCCTTACTGACATTAATGATGGTATCTATAAATCCGAACCACAATTCCATGAATTTTCAGGGTGAGATATGAACAGCAGTCTTTACAATCAGTTCCCTAAACGAGTTCTAGAAAAAAGTTAATCACTTGAAAGAAGATATCTTCAACTTCCTTCATATTCTTTTCTCTTCTAACAATGAAAAGTAAATTCCTCACTGTAAAGAAATGGATCGGGGGCCGGTCCAGTGGCTCAGTTGGTTAAGAGCTTGCTCAAGAGCGAAAGCTCTGAGCAACAGAGTTGCCAGTTCAATTCCCACATGGGCCAGTGAGCTGCGCCCTAGCTGAGCTGCCAACAAGTGGCAGGATGGCTCAGTTGGTGTAACAACAAAGTTGCCTGTTTGAGATGGTGGGCTACACCCGCCCGCAACTAAAGACTGAACTCAGCACCTTGAGTTGAGCTGCCGCCCAGGTGGCTCAGGGAATAGAGTGCGCGCTCTTAACAACGCTGCCAGTTCGACTCCCGCATGGGATGGTGGCTACGCCCACCCGCAACTAATTGAACACAGCACCTTGAGCTGAGTGGCGCAACTGAACTTGGAGCTGAGCTAGCTGCGCCCTCCACAACTAAGACTGAAGGACAACAGCTTGGCTGTTCCCCTTCCCCAATTCCCAACACTGTTCCCCTCTCCTAATTCCGGAATAAAATCTTTAAAAAAAAAAAAAAAGATGGATCAACTGACACTTAGTCAGCAGAGCCTATGTATAGGTTGAACTACCAAGATTTCCTAGTCATTCTCATGAAAATTAATTTACAACTGATAAGAGAGTAGCATAGTAAATAAATATTCCTCCTGGCATCCAAGTAAGCTTGGCCTCCTGGCAACTCAATGTCGATTGCTCTTAGGAAATGAGTCACTGTGCGGCCCAGAAAGGACGGTCAACCAGCTGGCTTCTAGCATCCTCCATGCCATGTGACTGTGTTGTTTAAAGGTGCCCTTTCCTAAATGTGTTATCAATTTTCACAAGGGGTGGTAGCCGAGGGACAGCAAACGATGAAAATTATTTAAACATTTGTGGATAAAGTAACCCCAGTGCTTCCATTCCCTTGTGAAGGACAGTCCCAAAGAAAATACCCATAACAGTTCATAATAAACTGACCTCCCAAATACACAGTCTGTTCTGTACAGAATGGTCAGTCACACGAGTCTAAGATGCTCCATTTCTCAATCATCTCAGCCCAGAATCTTACAGTAACTCAACAGGATGCTTTTCAGATCATCAAGTACAGCCCTTATACTTTTGTAACAATTCTTTCAGAAAACTTGTCAGAGTCACACAGCTAATCAGGCCTTTTCATTCTCTAGTTTCTTTTATCACTGTACCTGCCAACTATCTCTCACATACGAGATTAGAAATAGTCCTGAAACATGGTTTTTAATTCAAAGGTTTCATGGGTTTCAAGTGAATGCAAGATTCTTCCATTCTTTCTCAGGAAATATTGACTGATTACCAGAAACATTTGCTTTCATGGATATTCTTAAGCCAGGAGGATTTGAAATGTAAAGATGACATTAAAGGAAAAAAAAAATCTTTCCTTCAATGCTACATTAATGTTTAAGCATTTTCCAGAAGGGTAGTTGGAAAAAAATAGCTATTTTCAAATCAAGGTCCATTAACTTCATATTTCAAATGTACAGGCGAAGATTTCAGAATGCAACCTTTTGTATGATTTCTACAATTTATAGAAAGCAAGCTATTAAATTAGAGAAACTGAAGCAATGCATAGGGTGTAACTCTCCTGCCTTCTCCCCTTCCCCCAAACAAACATCTATTTCTATTATTTCCAGATGGTTCTACCATAACTATGTAAACATAACGGAGGAAAAGCACCAGAAATGATGCTAAAAATAAGAAGTCTGGACGTTCCTCAAACTTTTAATAACTCTTGAAAAACAACTGTAGTCAAGCACTGAAAACAAGAAGGTTTCTTCTCTTGCGTTATTTTTAGTGTTACTTAATAGCACACACTCTATATTAACCTACACAAAATGTTTGCAAATAGAGGTTGTGAAGCAAACTAGAAGAAAAGCAAGTCTTCCTGTGTTTGCAGCAATCCTGCATGCTAATGAATGTTTGGAGCACTGAAACATTCTTTTAAGGGGGATTTCTTTTTAAGGGGAATGTCATTACCACAGTGATCGCAAAATTCCTTCACATTTATATCACCACCTCTTTAAAAAAATGTTAAAAATCAAAGAGTCTGAAAAGAGTGCATTCTCCTGTTTGTCTCTATGTTACTTGTTTAGAAATCAAATTCAGTTCTGCCACATCCTTGCCATCAACAATCCCCATCACACACGACCAATTGGTAACCCACTGCTCAATACATTTCCTTGCCCTTAGGGTCGCTGTCTTGGTAAGGTTCTCATCTTTTCTAGTTGAAAACATGGTCTCAATCTCCAGTCTCTCGTACCTATAATCCACCAGACTTTCACAGAATACAAATGAGATCACGCCCCTCTCTGCTTAAATCTTTCACTGTCCACCAAATAAAGAATAAATTCTTTAGCAAGGCACGTTAAATCTGACCCTACCTACCTATGCAGCCTTTCGCTCTCCATCACCTCCCAAAGTACCATGATGTTCTCTCTCTTCTATTCCCCACCCTTCTTTTCTTGGTGGTAAGGTCCTACCCATTCTTTTATGATCAGATTAAAATTGAACTCTTCTATGAGCCTACCCTCAGCCCCTGAAGGGTGAGGCTATCAATTCCTCTTCTAAGATCCTGTCATGCCTTGTACAGCAAACATTTGCACAGCAAAGTTTTGTTATATCCATGCTATACTGAATTTTTTAATTAATGTCTCTCTTCTCTACACAAAAATGGTGAACTCCTTGAGGGCAGAGAATGTGTATTTTTTATTTTTGTGCCTTCAGTACTCTAGCACGGGGCCTAGAATATAGAGATGCATAGTAAATATCTATTAGGTAAATGAAGGAGAGAATCAACGAATAGGAAAAACAGATCAACTCTGGATTGTCATGAGGGTACTGAGAGCACGTCTGCCTTGCCCATCCAAGCTTCCTTCTTTGTCGCAACTCATAAAGCCTTGTTCATTTGCTCTCTTAGCTGTTTCCCATCCCCATTGTGATATGGTGATTAGTCATCTCTAAGTGTGAAGCTGTTAGGAAGGATTAGCGAAAGGGTGGTGATTTCCCTAGTATTCTGCCAAGCCCTGTTCCAACATTCCTTAATCATTCTTTGGCATGTCCACTATAAGATGGCACACTGAGCACATGTTGCAATTGTCCCTTCCTGCCCCGGATCCTTAGAAATAATGAAAGGGTTTTAATAAAAATCCAGAACCAGGCAAGAAAGGAAGTGGCAGACTAGAAACTCTGAGTCTTGTGTGGTCTGTTACAAGAAAATAGACAACTGGAATGGTTTGCCTCACAAATGTGGACAACTGAGAGCTGTCCAGATATACAACTCGCCAGCTGCCCCTCCACCGATGGCAGGCCAGCAACTGACACTGGCAGCTTTAGAAGACATGGTCAGCGGTTGGTAAGGGTGTGGTGGCTGGGACGTCAGCATCACATAGATCAGATGACATCTGATCTAACTCATTATAGTAAGATTCTATAATGAATACAAGCAAAGAGCTTACACACTTCCTACCACCACCTCTTCTTAAAAGGGAAGATCATTTTCTCCAATAACATTTTACCTTTCAGAAAGCTGCCGGATCTGTGGAATTCCCATATACTTGTGGAAGTGTTCCAAAACGTTCATTACACCCTGAAGAAGGTTAGCAACTTCTCCATACTGTCTTCGCCTGGTCATGGCTCTGCAAGGAAATAAGAAGTTGAGAACTCTAGAAAAACACTAAGAACACAAGACAAAGATGTGAAATGACCTACGCTGAGCTCTAAAACAGACATCAATTCAATTTATTTATTTATTTATTTAAATAAACAAATATATATAAATAAATTTATATATATTTTATTAGTTTCAGGTGTACAAAACAACATGTTAGACATTTATACCCCTCACAAAGTGATAACCCCCCCAATCTACTATCCCTCTGACATCACATATAGCTATTACAATTCCATTGACTCTAATCAACTCAATTTAATAAGCATTTACTGAGCACTGTGTAAGTATGGTGCTGCGCAGTGGAGGCAGGGGGGAACCTAGTCCAAAATCTCAAGGTGACATCACTCAGTCAGGGAGAAAGCCAAGTACACATCTAATACCAAGTAGGATGAACTGAGTTCTAAACATAAGTACTAGTTATGTGCTATGGGAAATACAAAAGAATGTCTGAGTTGATGGATTCTCATTGGGTGGGGGAATGGGAAATCTGGGAAGACTAGGGATTTGGGATTTGGGTTGGGTATTATGGGATTAGCTGACTTTTGACAGACAACAGGGGAAAGCTGTTACTACCTGAGGATTATAGCTTATGGGCAAACTAAACACATCCTCCTGGGATACAACAAAGGGCATTTATATGCAGGTACATGTTAACTAAACTTGTGGGTTTTCAGCCAATGTTAAGCAACTCTGTGTCAGATATGTCTGCTTTCCCTACTGCTAAGGTTAATGAAGCATACATAAAAGGATACTGATAAAATCAATAGTTACACACAGCAAGGAAGGACAGACTATTAGATCTAAATATTTCATTAGGGTTGGGCTTTTAAATTAAAAGTATAATTTATTACGTAAGAGGTATTTTAAAAGACAGAATCAAGTTGTGGCCAAGGTATTACGTTGCTACCACAGCCTGGATGGATAGTTGGTGGAAAACACCGAGCCTCTGGGGAAAGGAACAGTAGATGGCTCTTCCAGTCTCGCACTGGTCTGCTGCTCTCTCTGATCACTACCCGCAGAACGGACCAGGGTTCATTGAAGTGTCATGTAGCCAATGCCCAAGACGGATCGGGAACAACTGTGTCCCCTCTCCCCCAATTCTGGATACTGTAGCTAAATTTCTGTGAAGATGCTCTTTCTCTGTCCACACATGAGGTCACACTGAGGCTAGGGCAGGGGGGCTTCTCAGCCGGAGACAGGCCACAGACGTGAACTGGCATGTCAGAATCTTGCTAATACAGGAGGCCGTTGGGCTGCCTCTTTGTAGTAAATAACCAGCTCTTCCTTTAATACGATTTCTAGTGTCCTCATGTATCATTCTCTATAGGTCCTCCATAAACCAAACAGGAAGCTACTATAGTTGGAAAAAAAAAGTGGGTTGAATGACAAATATCTGTTTCTGTACAGTACATTCAATGACAGTGCAACTCAGCCCAACACAAGCAGGAAAACTTGCCAAGGCCAAGGCCGTTGGAAGAGTGTATGGACCCGAATCATCTTGTGGGCCTCAATGGCAGAGATGTATTACATGTAAACGACCGTATTCTTGGAGTCACTCTCCACATCCTTTCTAGGGCCCCTTCACTCACTTGTACTTCAGCTGTTTGTTAGGTTTTGAACACCAGGGGGCAGCACAGAGCAAACCTGGTGACTGAACACTCGGAGATGGATTTGCAGAAAGTGGGGCAGGATGATGAGACTCTCCTTGCTGAGAAGTAAATAAACCTATGATGACATTTTCTATACGTGACACATTCATTTCCTGTGGACCCAAAAGAGAAAGGTGACACTGCTTACTCGAGGGAGTCGACACCACCTGCCAACATGTGCAGGTGGTTCAGCGTTGTGATTGAGGTGGTCAGGTGGCGTTTGGCATGATCTAACTGCTTAATATCACGGGTGATTTCTTTAACCTAAATATTGAAAACCACAGGAGAAAAAGGAGGAAGGTTAAGAAAGATGTCAACCCATCTGCAAGTAGCTCCCCAAGAAAATAATGCAAATGAAGCAAAGAAAAAAAAAACACCTCAGGTTAGCCCTTGGGGAAAACACAGGCTTTCTCACAATATACAATCACAATAATTTCGAATGAGCCCATTTAAATTTAATTTGGCATTGCCTCGGAAGACTTTACCCAGGGTTACAAAATCCTCAGTTATGAGAATGAAACAAACTCCTCCCCGCCCCCCAAGTGGAATGATCCTAATAGCAATTTAGCATGGAGCCAGCAGGGTCCACGAGTCAAGTGCGGTACATCTTGTCTTGAACAAAGTCAGAAAGGTTGCCTTCTGACAGTGGGCCTGCTAGGCTCAGTACAGAATGTATGGTGTTAGCTGACTAATTCTGTTGAGACGGTCTTTATTCATGGAACTAGGGTTTATTGCTCAGTCTCCAGCAAAGAAAGCCTTTTTCTCAAATTTCAAGAAGACTAAAACGTAACCCCGGTAACATAAACTTAACATGTAATGTCAAAAGAGGAAAGGCTCAGCCTTCAGGGAGTGAGAAGGAAATCGGAGGAGGAAAATTCCAACACTGTTGACCCAGCAGGTCCAAGAGGAAGGGACTCTGTATCTGGGAACACAGGTATGTCTCAGTCACTAGGAAAGTGCACTCGGCAGTGAAGTGGGAACAATTCTCCAAGTTCACTGAAACCTAAAGGAAACCTTCTACTAACTGCCTGAGTCTATGTATGTTGACCAAGAAAGTTTCTGAAGGGGCGGCCAGGTGGCTCAGTTGGTTAGAGTGTGTGCTCTGAACAACAAGGTTGCCGGTTTGATTCCCGCATGGGATGGTGGGCTGCGCTCCCTGCAACTACATTGAAAATGGCGACTGGACTTGGAGCTGAGCTGCGTGCGCCCTCTACAACTTGGATGAAACAGCTACTTGACTTGGAGCTGATGGCTCCTGGAAAAACACACTGTTCCCCAACAAAATGTCTAAAAACAAAAAAAATTTTTTAAGAAAAGAAACAAAAAAAGAAAGAAACTTTCTGAAGAGTAACTTGATTTCCTGGTTTCTTTAATACCTGGAAGGAAGGAGGTGCCCTGGATACCAGGTCAAACATTTTAGGCACTGGAAAGGTATAGCTCCCACTAGAAGTGAAAAACCCGGTAGTGAGTTCAGTTCATGCAACCTGAGTTTTTAGTTTGACTACCATGTGTGAACTCATAAAGATTATGACTTGCACAGCCCAGCTCCTCATCCACAAATCTGCAAGGTTTTTTTAACCAAAAAAGTAGGGGGGAAAAAATGACATTCCTCATGGCTTCCATTCATTGAACAACTAACTCGAGCCTAGTACTATGCTCGGTGTTCTTCCTACATTTAATTCTTACAACCCTTTGAGCTAGCTCTATTGTTCTTGTTTACAGTTGAAGAAACTGGAATTCAGAGGCAGTGCATTACGTAGTCAGAATGTGAGCCCAGAAGCTGGCATTTCATAGTGCCTCCCACGGAGTGCAAGTGGGCGAGGCTGGATTCCTGGTCAGCAGTGGGGCCTTCCGAGTACATCATGGGAGGAAACATATTTGTTGGGGGAGAACTTAATCAAAACCATAAGCATGCATCCTAAGCAGGATACATCCCACCTCCCAGATCCAGGACTGGTTTTCATGTGACACCAAGTGATGTATCGTATATCTTAATAATGCCTTCCATTCACTGAGCAGCTAACATAAGGCTAGTACTATGCATGATATAAAATATGTGATATGAACAAATGCTAGAGAAAGGAATCCAAAAGGACTAGGGAACTATTTGGGGGAACGGAGAAGAAGACTTTCCCTCTTCGAACACACGGGCTGCACATGTAGGGCGGCAGGTCCAGTGAGTCACTGCATGTCTAGCAGCTCCTCCTGAACTGATGTAGAATGTGCTCCCAGGGCGTGCTGTAGAGACGTGGGTGCTGTGGTTGGCAGCCAGTGGGAGTAAAAGCCCATTAATATGACCGGATGAGATGCTAACTTCCTCTTCTGGGGCAATGACATTAGGAAGAAACCTGAACTCACCATTTGCTCTGATTTTTCTGCTTTGTCTTTGATATCTTTGATTTTGCCGAAAAGTTGCTGAATTGCTTTCTGGGCCTCTTCAAGTGCCTAGAATAAGAGAAAATAAATGAAAAAAACAAGACAGCACCAATCCCTAAACTGTAATCAAGTCCAGCCTCAGAAGAAAATTAATAAAGCCCTCTTGATTCATTGCACTTACGCTGACAACTTTACTGGACCAAAGTCGTAGAGACAGAGTCCAGCATTTGGAGACAGGCAAATAGTCAGGATGCTTGCCAAGATGCATCATAAAGTTTTAATTTAAAAACTAAACTATTTCCCTCTATCTCCGTGATTACCACACGTATTGATGACAACAAATAAACAGGCTAGGCACATCTGTGTGTGTGTGTGTGTGTGTGTGTGTGTGTGTGTGTGTGTGTACATACACGTGTGCAGTAACCTTCAAAACCTGTAAAAAGGCAGAGGTGGCTCTAAGTTGGGGGTAGGGGGAGATCTGAATTTTGAAAGTTCCAGAAAACTGTGCCTTCCAAAAACTCGCAACTGTGCACAGAGACTGGCACTGTGGCAAACCTTAAAGACATTTACAGTGTCTCATTTGGAAACCAACGAGATGAAGTTAGAAAGGGACACTTGAACAGTGAGCCAAATGCTTCCACTAAAATAAAAACTTACAAAGATGGATGCCACGCATTAAAAGTATTACAGCCCACAGTAGCTTCTGCGAGTAGGGGAAGCGATATTCAGGGATTCGTGAGGGCACAAAAGCCACACACATGTAGAACACATGTACTTATAAATGAAGCAGCAGCCAAAAGAAGAACTCACGCTTTGTTTCATCAGAAGTACTTTGTTTATTTTGGATTTCAGAGTGGCCTGTCCTAACCGGGCCTCACAGCCCTTTACAAACGTAATGATAAGGCCAATGTAATCCTAGAGCTGTGTGTGGCCACCTCTGCCTGCACAGAGAAACAGCCAGCCGCCTTGAGAAGGGTACCGTCGCAGATGAACGAGGAAAGTGAAGCTGAGATGAAGGGAGAATGACAAAGCCCTGACGAAAGTATGTGAACCTCTCTAGTCAGCTGTACCCAACGGAAGAGCTACCTCTAGACTATGAACTCACATATTATTTTTGCTTAAAAAAAAAAATCCTCATAAAGCAAACTTAAGTTGGTTTCCTCTGTAGAAATTTCCTTCCTTGTTTAGATGGAGGGGCTGAATCTCCCATTCCTTCCCAGGTATCCCGAGCTGTCCACTTCTTCTGATACGGGAAATGCTTTCTTATTCTGCAACTCCCTGCCTGGCGTGTGGCTCAATTCCAAACACGGCTTTCTTTTGATCGTCTTCCACCTCTGGGATTTACAGGAGTTTTGCATGTGGCGACAAGGATGCTAAGCTGTTGCATGTGACTATGTTATGGCTTCTGCAATGAATGTCCAGAAGCTCCTGGGAGAAGTCGTTCCTTAGCCTGTTTGTTGTCAAGTCTGGGATGACACTATTCGAGCAGCTGCTCAATCCACCTCCCGGGGCAGTGTGCGTTTGCTCTGCGGGATCTCTTTACTTGTATCTACAAAGGCTTGTGAGCAAAGGAGCTTTATACTTGTAATTTCTGCCACTGGGACACAGACATTTTAATCATCGGAAAGTTTGGTCTTGGAACAACAGCTGGCATTGCTACCAGAGCCACAAATTAATACCTTGGGAATTTTTACCTGAAGAGTAGGAAAAGGGGCAGTGGAATGGAATTGGGTCACAGTGAGCAGCTCCTCTCAGTCCCATTCCACCCCAAAAAGATGCCTCATAGCAACTGTTCCCATTGAGCTTCCTCCCATCCTGTCTTTCTCATTCCAGGACTTAGGACCCCTGAAACAGCTGTGGTATCACGAGAAAACCCTCCATCTTCCAGCCTGCCTCCACTGTCACATGCTAGCTGTACCTTTCTGGGCATCAGCTTCCTTGTCTGAAAAGTAGTGATGACGGCATCTACTTCCGGGATTGTTGAGAAAATTTAGTGACATAATAGGTGTAAAAAGCTGCACAAGGGCTGGCCGAGTGACGTGTTGGTTAAGAGCTGGCTTCGGACGCCAGAGGGCCCTGGTTCGGATCCCACATGAGGGCCAGTGACACTGCCCTCTACAGCTAAGATGCTGAACAACAGCTCAACCTGAAGCTGGGCTGCTGTGAG